TTCTCCTTGGTGTATCAGATTTTTCAGTTTACTTTTGTATAAATGACTAAAACCAAAAAAATTACTATTTTTCCGGGCACCAAATCAGAACGTATCGGTTCTTATCTGAGCCAATTTTCAAACTGAAGCCTAATTTCTTTTTTAGTCGCTTATAAATCACCCCTGTATTTAAAAAATCTAAACAATTGCTTTTAATGTTAATTAAGTTAGAAAAAACTATGATTTCAGTTGTGCCAGTACTGCGGTCAGATTAGTGCATTTATTAGAAATTCTTGACTATGGAACAGTGTTGAATTTGGTAGCCAGATGAAGTTATTTGATTAAACGTGACAGTTGCCCAGTTTGTCTTCAATGACTCTCAGATGTGACCAGACGTATGCAATCTTTTTAAATCACTTATTTGTTTAACTAAAGATTCCTCTAATGATGGTATACTGTTCATAAACATAGAAAACTACGAGGCATAGTTATCTGATTGTGATCAGTAAAATTCATCTGCTAACACGCAGATAAATGACCTGATCAGATCCGACTGTTAATGAACATTTTAATTCATCATCTCTTTTCGCTTTAGTGCAACAGTAATTAATTTATAAACGATTAACGACTGCCAGTACGCTGCAATTAGACAATAAAATAATTTTTAGAACAATATGGGTTATTATGTTAGAGACAGCCAAACATTAATGAATAGTCAGAACGAAAAAAAAAAGGAAGATTTGTTGAACATTAATGGTTTTATGTGCTTATGCTATTCGATGTTCCACTGTTCAGTAATAGATGTTTTGCATATACGCATTAAATCTACTTAGAAATCTTTTGTGCACATTATGAGAACGGTGTTCCGACAGATGATCGGTGTTTTAAAAGGTTTTTATTGCTACTAATGCTGTCTGTGATCATGTAATAGAGAAAAAGACAATTTTAAAGAAAGAAACTTGAAAGAAGTTTTTTTGTTAAAGAGGTTAGTTTTATGAAATAAATTTCTAAAAATTGTTGTAATTGTTGAATTCTTTTTTTTTCGGTTAAATTTCTTGTTACGTAATGCCAGCTGACTGTGAAAATGCGTATTTCACAAATCAACCTTTGGTCCACAGAACGACAAACGTTCTTTCTGCTCTTATCCAAACGACCTTTCGCTAATGTCGTCAAATTGTTTTCAGACTTTAATAGTAAAGCAAAAAGAATAATAATTACCTCTTTTTTGCGGATCTAGAAGCAGATTTAATTGGCTTTATTTCAGAACTGTAGTAAACACTGTGCCTTAAACTCTCAGCAATATATCTGAAAAACTATTTGCAGCAATTTGTCATACTGCATACCTTTACAAGCAGAACAACTGACAGGTTAGACAATAAAGCTAATTTGTTAAAGAACTAAAAAAAATCTTGTCTTCACAGCTGTTGCTGATTATTGGGTTTTTAGTGAGTACTGCTTTAATAAAATAATAAAAACAAATATATAAATGTCCTATATACGTTATTAGTCTAAGTCAATAAATTCTAGTTTTTTTTTGCGTTCAAATTTAATTAGTCTTAAACTGTAATTGAAATGATGCTAAAATTGCTGCTGTATGTCTTTTTGTCTTTATTTTTGATATAAAGAAAAAAATATGCTTAAAAAAATTGTGTTATTAAAGTTGAGACTGCAAGATTTTTTGTTTAAGGAAATTGTTCGTAGATTTCTAATGCTTTTTTTAAATCTATGCCACAGCTTAGTAATCTGATTTTTTTTTCTTTGACAGGACAAATATGTCAATAGGGTGCACGTCTTGTTTAACAATAATTATAAAGCCAACAGCAGCAAAATAGCAATATCAAAATCGTAAATATTGTGGTTCAAAAGTGACACAATTTATGAGCAATTATCTTTCAGAAGCCTAAAAAAATTTCATAAAGATTTTTAACTAGTCTAAGCTCCTCTATTGATTTCCTTTTGTTTAAAGGAGTTGTTTGTTGTTCCGATCTACTTCAAAGATCAACCGTGACCTTCAAAACGGTGATAAACTTTAGCACCTAATTTTGTATTTCCAAACTGTTCAGTTGCTTTCGCTTGTCCTATTTTTCGTATCAAATGTTTCTGCTTATTCATCATTGACAAAGCAACGACGGTGTTTATAAATTTCTGTTTTTCTGTTCAGTTAATTTTGTTCAACCAAGACAAATATTACCCAAACAGACTTTAAACTTGCATCGATTCGAAGTAACAGAGTGGTTTAGGAACGACTTAGTTTGAAAATTTTATTAATACTAAGAAGTTTTGTTGACTGATTCTGTAATAAGCTAAAAGTACACAGCTGTCATCAAAACACAATGCTAAGCAGCGATCGTCAAGTTCTAGTTGAAGACCCCGCGAGAGATTATTGTTCTATAATTGTTATGATAAAAGGCAAAGTTTTGACCCCTAAATGGAACAACGAATTTTTATTTGCAGCATATAACAGTGACTGAGTACAGCTCTGCAAATAACTGTGGAATCATTTGTTATTCAATTATTTAACAATTAGCTGCAAATCCCCACTTCCCCTTGCCTTAAAAATTTGTTGTTCCAATTTAATTCAGTACTAAGAATTGTACTCTGACTTTTTTTCAAAAACCTTCCTAAATTTTTCTAAATAAAAAAAAATTTTTTTTACATGTAAACGCTCTGAGTTATTTTAGTGTAATTCATAATAAAATTAACTTAGTGTAAATTTGTAGATGCTGCTTAATTCATTACAGCAAAAAAAATTTTTTTTGTTTATTGACACTTTTTAATGATCAAACTTAGTTTTCAAAAGAAGAAAAAGTAGAAATTAAAAAAAATAAAGGAGGAAAAAGAAAAGATACTGTTATGTGTAAAAAAATTAGAATTCAAAAGTGTACCCTCCGTTTCCTTGTTCTTTTCACTTTCATGTACTAAGTATTTTTCCACTGTTTTCTTCACCCTTCTCTTTCCCCATCTTCTAATTCCTCCTCCTGCACCTTCTAACCTCTCTTTCCCATACCTCTCAGGAGTATTCTGATATTTGCTGATTAGAGTTAAAAAAAAGATCGATGGCCAAACACTAAGGAAGTGGCCCACTGCAAAACATTGGGTAACTGGGTCAGTACGAAAATTTTTATAACAGTTTAGTTCAACGACACACAGCCTTGACCCAGTCGTAGTTATATTTTGAAGTATTGCTGAAGAAATGAGATACAATTTTCAGTACTTTCAAATGAGCTCCAATTGACAGTCGTCATCGTTGTTGTTGTCGTTGCCTTTTATTGCTCCAACTGACGACGTCACAAGAAGTATTTATAATATAATTAAGCAAAGCTTCATTTTATTGCCCCACAGACGTATGTGACTCTTCTATAATATTTGTGAAAATTGTACCAAATTTGAGATGCAAAAAAAGAACAATTTTTTTTGCCTTCTTCAATAGGAATCTTTGGATTTGAAATTTAGTGTCACAATAGCAACGGTACTTTTCTCTACTTGTAAAATCGGTATTTGTTGATCTGTAGCAGTGATATGATGTGATCAAAATCGCTGCCGTATTTGTGTATGTTTGTTGTACCGATAATACTACAAAGAAATATGTGTCTAAATAACAATTTAGAAAGTTCTATAAAATTTTTATTCGTTTGCTAAAAAGAACTTTGATCTGACTGTTTAGTCTTTGTTAAATTTGGTGTTTCTTCATTTTTGCATTCTAATTTTTTAATGTTATTTTTAAAAGAATTAAAAATTTGAATATTGTGAAAAGTAAATTAGTCGAGCGATGAGTGATTTTCAACAGTAGAATTTGATGTTCAGCTGCTGTGTCCCAGAAATTTTCAAAAGCATGTTTTTAACACCTTTGAACGAAAAACAAAATCTAAAATCAGAAAATAAAGTTTTTAAAAAAATTTTTTTTTTTATTTTATACAAACAAAAACCAATGAATTATTTCAAAGACAAAGTACCAGCGGAACTGTGCGACACCAAATTTGTAACCACCGCGAATTCGAAAATATTATGCCCTATTTATAAGACTTCGATATTTAATGAGAGCAAACTTTACCAGATGAGCTGTTGTTACGTTAGCCAGTTAACGAAGCCTTCTTTTAGTTGCCCATAGTGTTTTCTATAGCTCCAAGCCTTTGTCTATTGTCGGACAGCTAACTGCTTGACGTGAAACATAAGATGTTGTAAGAATTGTTCAAAAACATAATTAGTGTTTGCCGTAACTCAATATGTTATTCTTTGATGCTTTTCAAGCTTTATAACTTTTTTACAGCTCTGACCGCTTCGTGTCCTATTTTTCATCAGGTAGCCAAACATTGATTCACTGTTTTAAATCTTTTTATTGTTTTCATCAGAAAAAAAAAAAGTTTGAACACTTATTTTTTTTTACTCAAGATTGTTATTAAAAATTTTTTTATCTTTTATGAACAGCTAAAATTCGCTGCTGCTTTTCCAGTTTCACTGTTGCATTACATAAACATTTGTATTGGTTGAACAAACTGTTCTAGAATACTGACTATTTTAAAATGTTTTCTAGGAATTTCATCCTTACTTTTGATCAAATTTTCTCAATTAAACAGATAAAATTTGAACGTTTTTTTTTCTTTGCATTGCGATTTGTAACAATTCTGTGTTAGTTTTACTGTTAACCGGTTTTAATCAGTTTATTTAATCTGTTTAAAGTTTTGCAAAGTTGTCGACAAAGTAATTGCAAATTATAAAGGAAAAAAATAACGTTTTTATTCTAACAAGAAAGTAATAGTTTTGTGAGTTATGAATTAAACTGTGTATCTGGGTTAATCTATAGAACTCAAATGGATTTGGTTTCTTTTTTGACCACACTCGACAAATTAGTAGTTATTTGCCATCGTGTCTTTGCATTCTGTTACACAGTGCACAGATTTTAAAAATAACTTTGGAGTTTTCCGCTACTTATTCGTCTTTCAAAATCACTTTTGCAGTAACAATTGTTTAAGTCGTTATAATTGAATTCTTTTTATTTACCCTTATCAGTTATTATTTTAGTGATGTTACGGTCATTAATATTCTGTTGTCTTGTAATCTTTAATGCCGTTTCTGGCGAAATTGACGAAAGACCTGTGGTTATCAGACTTCAACCACAATCGCGGAAGCCAAACTTCTTGAAGGAAATTGCACCACCTCGTGCAGTCCTCAATGCTCACGCAAAAACTGGTACCTCGGCAACAACTCATGTGAGTGGAAGCCTATTTAAACAGCATTTAACCGTTTTAATTATACCAGTTACAGCTAAATACTCATATAATTGTATTGCTTACAGTTAAATCAACCAGCGGTTGGAACCAGTTCGATTGTTGCCGCTGTACCCACTGTACTTCGGCCCGCTGTTGGTCAACCGCCAATTGGACTACTAAGTCCACCATCGCTGAACAATCACTCACCAACTGGGCAGGGTCTCCCAATTAATCCTGATTCGAACCCAGCATTTTCTGAACTAATTAATCAACTTAGTAACGGAAATACTTCCCCAGGACTTTCTGGTTCACTACTAAACACGCAAAATCAGTTTCTTCCACCAGCTGCACAACAACCAGTTATAACTCAGGTCTACTAGCAGTTTAATATGCACCTTGAAGTTTAACTGTCTTTGACACTAAAAAGTTATAAAAAACTAAGTTACAAAAAACTGCTTTTATTCTAATGGGACCTTTAGGCTCCTTTTCCTGGTGAACAGTTTAATCCTCGAGAAATTACCACACTTCCTCCTCCTCCTCCAGTCAATATCCCACCAGATGTTCAGAACCAGCTTATTAAATTTTTTGGATTAGACAGCTTTGGTATTCCAGGACTTACGGGGAATCACCCTGAAGGCTTCGCTGGAGCAATTGATGTTTGTTTTTATTAAGTTTTATAGCTATTTCATTCACACTATTTAAGTTTTAAATTGTTTTATTCTAAAAATTCAAATTTTCTTTTGAAAACTTACTTATCGTTTTGGAAATTTAGAAGTAAGAGCTTTAAAAAACCTTAGCTCAGTACTCTTAACCACTTTCAACTTTAGGAACTTAGAAAGGCGGGCATTCCTATCCAAGGAATTCCTCCAGAGCATTTGACTTCCATATCTAATCGTACAGATGGTGGACTTCCATCAGGATCTGGTCATGGTTCGTCACACAGTCCAAAAGACGCCAAATTTTAATTATATGTTAACTTTGGTCAAGTGTGCATTAGAAATATAGCAAAGTTTGACTTTTCAGACTTGTTGGCTCATGCTAGTCCGTCATTTGGAAACCAACTGAATAAGCTTTACAATGAAGCCGCTGGTCCTTCTGATTATCATGCTGGATTATCCAACATTCCATTACCAGAAGCTACGCCAGGAGAAAATGGATTGATTGGACTTCTTTCTACCTCTGTTAGAAAACTGGTTCATGACTGTATGATTTTCTGTTCCAAAATTTAATCTGTTTGACTTTTAAACACCCATTGACTTTCAATATTGAAAGCTCGTCATTATTAGTAAAACTAGGAACGATTTTCCAGCTGGTATTGCTGACGCAATGCAGCAAGGGCTTCCAACTGTTCTTGGTACCAATAAGGCTCCAGAAATTGCTCATTCCACTGACACCGAAGCCTTCGAGGCAGAAGCTGCAGCTGCAGATACTGGAGTCCGACGTCAACAAAGCGTAGCTCAGAAAGCTTTATCTGGCATAGCTGCAGCGCTTGGTGCTAGTGGTGGTAACGGGCCAACTCACGCTGGTTTACCAAGAATTCCTGGCATTCCTCTGCTTCCTGGTGGAATTCCAAGAAACTCACAAGGACAAATAGATGTTGTTCAACTTATTGGTAACTTTTAATCCTACTTAATGAGGAATAAATTATTAGTTTTCTGCAATTTACACAATGAATTCTAGGGTCAATCACTCGTCGTATAACCAATGGTACTACAGTTGCTGATATAATACCTCCTGAGCAATTGCAGACGCTGGCTGATAATGTTACCGATGCACTTCTGCCACCGACACCTGAAGATTTTGACTTGCAGAAGTTTATGGGAAGGTGGTTTGAAGGAATTAATAGTCCTCGTGCCACTGAACAGCGTTGTATTGTTCACCACTGTATGTTTTGAACTACGAGCATTATCCTTTCTACAGCTGCTTTTGGTTTTTCTTTTTAATTATAACTGAAATTAATTTAGTAGTTATATTTTTTAAGTGAATAATTTTTAGATGGTGGTTTGACCAAAAACGACAAGACAGCTACTTTTACGGCCCTTAAAATATACCGCGAAGGTAGTGAATTCGGACCGGTACGATATTCCATTGGTTACGCCTTCAGAGGAGGAAATAAGAATGCAATGTTGCAGTTGCACAGTTCAGAATCAGCTGATGCTCAGCCATGTGTGTATTTTGCACCTTTTTTTTTTGTTTTCAGACTGGTTAACGCACATTTTCAATAAAATGGCCAAGAGAAGTGTTTAACAACTTTTGCATTTTACACCCAAAACCGATAAATAATTTTAGGAAAAATAAACAGGAAATAAAAGAAACCGAAACTTGTCGTTTTTGTTGATTTTTTATTAAGCACTGTAATAATCTGCCACCGTTTAGTTTGGATTTACAAACTTGGGCCGGAGGGAACCGATCCATTTGGTAATCCTCAATACGAATGGGCTATTGTCTCCAATTGGTTGAAATACCCAGTAACAGTACTGGTACGTGATCCAGATACCTTCAAAACCAAGTACGAAATTGAAGTCCTCCGATGGTTGGAAGATCAAGGCTTTATCAACGGATTTGTTCGAGCCTTCAATATGCTGCAGCCTGCTAGCTACAGTTCCTGCCAATACGCGGACAGCACATTTACGGTATTTGGCCCAAGTAAACGAGCTGCTGCCAGTGGGGCTGCTTAAATGACCGTCAATCATTATGTGGATGTAAATTTTTACTGTTACTTTTTTTTCGTGTTGTACAGTTTAGTTGATCTGTGTGTTGTGCGTGTGAGTGTTTCTGTGTGTGCGCAAACTTGTTTGTATGTAATGATGGGTATCATTCAATTTCTCTACCAAATTTAATAAATCTCATCGTCTCTATGATATGCACCTTCATTTCGTACTATGTTTTGTTTACCAATCTTCTTCCTTCGAGTGATTCAACAATACTAGCTAACTAAAAGAAGAAGAAGAAAAAAAAGAAGAAAAAACTAGTTGATGAAATAAAGAATTAAAATTCTCATGTGTGCACTTCAGACTTACGGAACACTCATTTGAGCAGGGTAAAAAGGTGCAGGATACTAGGTTTACAATTCCAACTTAATTGTTTTTGAAGTGTTTTACTTACTTTAGGTTCTTCTGCCTCACCTTCTCGTTTTTGCTGGCAATGAAAGGTATAGAATTTTATTTAAAAGCTGCATCCATACACAGAATGAAACTTACAATTATTTTCAGTATTTACGAACACAAAAAAAATTTTTTTCTAGTTTCACTTGAACGGATAATGCGGGAAAATATGAATAACGGTGACAACCGCATAAATAATTTGAGAAACTTCGGCTAAGGTTTCAAGGTTATTATTCACTTATGTTCAGCAAGTGGGTGGGATGATCAAAATTTTAAAAAATAAAATTAAAAAATAAAAATAAAAATGAAAAAAATGAAGGAAAAAAAGGAAGAAGTGAAACGACGGTTGTTCAGGTCAACAACCTTGTTATTTTGGCCGTGAATGTGGAAATCTTTTGTCATTCTACTGGCCTCTGTTCGGGTCGTCATCGTTGTCGTTGTCGTTGTCGTCGTCATCGTCGTCCTCGTCAGCATAGTTTTCGTCGTGTTGGAGCAGCCAGCCAAAAACAGAATTCAGTAGGTTCAACAGCAGCCATGAAAACCGCCGTTACTATTCTGCTCTGTACAACAGCGTTACCGCTGATCAACGCTATTGGTGAAAATCCAGTAAGCTTTATTTAAAAAACAATTTCCTCCATATTTTTTCATCATTTCGCCCTCTCTCTTTCTTTCTTAGGAACAAAAAAGATTTGTTTTAAGCTTTTCCTGTTATACACATTTGTGAAATAGTTGACGAAGATGATATTTTTTCCTTTTGTAATGCTCTTTTTTCGGGCTAAACTGCCTCTTAGCCTAACTCCCCTTGGTCCTTTAAGTTCTCTGGTTCAGCTCCATGCAATGATTGTTTCCGTTGTACAGGGGATAGCTGATCATTGGCATGGTTCATCGTGGTGAGGCCTCGTTGTTCTGCTTCATTTCGATTCTTTTTCACCTCTGATAAAAATATTTTTCTATTTTCTTTCTTTTTTATCAAAAAGCAATAAAAATTACAAAAAAAAAGACTTTGGCGAGAAGATATTTAATGCATCAT